ATATATATATATATATATATATATATATATATATATATACTGTTTTCAAAGTCAAACAATATTAGGAAGAAAATATTTAAATTATTTAAATGTATTAATAATTTTAAATATATTTAAAGTATTTTAAAACATATTCAAATATATATATACTATAAAAATATAATATTATATAAATGATTAAAAATATAATATATTATATATACTGTATATAATAATAATAATATAAATAAATATATAAATTAACATTTCTAAATATTTGAATGGATATTAACTACTATTTACTACTATATTAACTACTGATTTACTAATTATATAATGTATTCATGATTGTAAATTATTTTTTGATAGTCAAGTTAAGATATTAAATTGTTACCTATTAGTATTATTATTATTAGGGACTGGTGCAAAATACAGCATATATGTATGTCTTCTACTACATGTTATTAATTTTACTTGAACTGCACATGTATATTTATAAGTTACCAGTACATCTTGACTCCAGTCTGCATGACGTCTGTTGTGAAGAAAGGAAAAGCGTCAGCTAAATGTTCTCATATGGCACATATGCAATCCTGTCTCATTCTCTGTTGGTGATCATGCTTTCCTCATGGCTGGGAGTTCTGTCAGTATGGAATAGTCTGTTTCATATGGCGGGAATTCCTGTCCAGCTGTAAAGAATCAGGGAGGGAAAACACCCCGCGTTCCCTCGAGGAGGGAGTATCACTCTCCTCCACCCAATCACACACTCCTCCTTCTCTGCCTTCGCTCTCCAGGGACTCTAGAGTTGTAAACCTAGAATTATAGCCTTTTGTATTTCCATTGTAGCTTTGAGAACAGAATTAATTACACACATAATTACAAACACATACACAAACTCTCACAAATGCTGCAAAGACAAATAACACAGAAAAGTGAAATCTTCCAAGAAACATTTGCGTACATACATAAACATACACACATGTAGACAGTAAAGGAAGCACATAGATATTTGTTTTTATATCATGATGGGCACCTCCCATATGATTCAATAGTTTTTAAATTAAGATGAGCTAACCCTAATCCAACTATTTGGGTGTTTTTGTATGTGCAGTAAATAGGTCTGTCAGTTTAGCATGGTAATTTATTTCAATATTTTTTACAAATTGTTCAAAATATTGGCTTCTAAAGTCACATTTTACGGCTATTAAATAATTTACTCATCTGCCATGTAATAAAATTTCTTAATTTTTTAGCAAAAAAATAGATTTCTTAGTTGCAATTAATTTAATTATTAAGCATCTCATGCAAGTTAATTCGTTTTTTTAAATCTTTTAAATAGCTTTCATCTCTAGATGATTATATAATTGTAATTTATTAAATATATTCTTTGTGGGGAGTAGACAATATAGTATTGTGGCAGGCTGCATTATTTGATGAAAAATACAGTAAAAAAAATAGTAATTTTAAAATATTACTACAGTTTACAATTTAATTACTATTTTAATATATTTTAAAATGTAATTTATTTCTGTGATGGCAAAACTACATTTTCAGCATTATAACTCCAGTCTTCAGCGCTACATGATCCTTCAGAAATCATTCTAATCTGCTGATTTGGGGCTGATATTCCACATTACTGAATGATTACAGTCTTTATATACTAAAGTATTAACATGGAACTCTGAGGATGTCTGGAGAGTACAGTGGTACTACTACAGTAAATGTCCAAAAGGCCATGGTGTTGTCATGGCATTATCTCCAAGAAGTGTTTTGGTACTTCTTAAAAATGTTACTGTGTTTATGAACGCAGCTTCAGTGTTTAATATGGGAAGAAGGCGAGTTTTGTTTTATTTTCCAGCTGAATGTGTGTTTTGACCCTCAGAACATGGGGAGTTCAGACATAACTACATTCAGGGAGCAGCGCTGTCTAGGGTGGGCCGCTGGGTCAGAACAGAACCGGTGCAGACACTCAACAGCAAAGTCTGAAGGTTTGATGTATTCAGGAAGGAGGTCAGAGATGGAGAGACCTCCATAGGAGAACATCTGTTCAGACCTGCCTTTTCCTCACTTGCTCATCCTGTTTCTTATAGTCTTTAGCTCAGTTTCTGTTTCAGTGGGTGTGTTTGATGAAGATTAGAACATGTTTCTGTGTGACTGTAAATGTGTGTGCGAGGTGTTGAATTGATTTTCTGTCACTGTAGGGTGAGTTTGTCTCTGGTGGTGATGTGTGTATTTGTTCGGCGAGCTAGTTTCTCTCTGCAGCCTGACCATGCTTTATTTCTCTCAGCCTGCCCTGTTTTTCCTTTCATTTGGGACAGTTTTGTACAGTTCTAGAAAAATTTGTCTGCATGAAATTTGTAGCACAAATGTGTTTTAATCTTCATCCAAATCATAAAACTTCAATTATGCATTCACAATGCACTGTGAGGTATTTCCGGGTTGAACAGAATATTTTGTGGGAAATAATATAGTGTGGTACTTTATATCCACCAGGATTTGACTGGATCATGAAAAAACTTTTAGGTTGTGAAGAATAGCATTTGAAATAGAAATCTTTTGTATGATTATACATGTCTTTACTGACACTTTTGATCAATTTATTGTGCCAATGCTGAATAAAAGACTATATATATTTTTCTAGCTCAAACTTTTGTTTGGTAGTGTATTGAAGTTTCTAAAAGAATATTAAGCATCAAAAACTGTTTTTAGCATTGATAGTAATCAGCATATAAGAAGGATCATGTGACACTGAAGACTGGAGTAATGATGCTGAAAATTCAGCTTTGCATCACAGGAAAAAATTACATTTTAAAGGGGTGGTTCATTGCGATTTCACTTTTTTAACGTTAGTTAGTGTGTAATGTTGCTGTCTGAGCATAAACAATATCTGCAAAGTTGCGAAGCTGAAAGTTCAATGCAAACGGAGATATCGTCTTTTAAAATTCTGGCAGTTTAATGCCTACAAAAATGGCTGGTAGGGACTACAACGAGTTACTTCCTGGGTTCGTGACATCACAAACCCAGATAAACCCCACCCTCGGGAAAAGGCAGCAAAGGGGGCGAGGCCATGCTGCGCTGCTTTAGAGAAGAGGAAGAGAAAACTAGAGGTGCACGTAAAAATCTATTCATATACGAAACGCGATTCTGTCTCAAAAAAAAACACTGAACCACCCCTTTAAAATATATTAAAATAGGAAACAGTCCTTTAAAATAGTAATAATATTTCACAATATTACTCTTTTTACTGTATGAATGCAGCCTTGGTCAGTATAAGAGACATCTTTCAACAACATAAAAAACTTAATTATTACAAACTTTTGGCCAGTAGTGTTTGTCCACATTAATAAAGATATATACATTACCATTCAAAAGTTTGGGTTCAATAAGATTTTTTTATGATGTTACTAATATTTTAGAAATGTTTTTTTTTTCTATTCTGAAAAAAAAACAAATTTCTATACTTTCATAAAACTGTTCTCAACACAGATACAAACACAAATCTAATGCATCCTTTCTTCCTAGATAACAGTAAAGGCTTCATTATTTAAACTTCTGCAAAGAAGTTATTATTATTAAGTTATACATTATTGAAGGCTTCATCAAGGATTGTAGGTGGGGGGAGTGAATGTACAGCGCTCTCTCCCACCTTCAATACCACGACTGAGGTGC